GTATAAATATACATATTTTAAACATTCTGGTACCCACACACATATATACGGAAATTCCTAGGGGGGCCAATCCTACTTCGCGGATTTTCACCTATCGCGAGGGGTTCCGGTCCCCATTAACCGCGATAAACGAGGGATCACTGTATATTAATAGGGGCACTGCCCAAGCACATTTCACAAAGACTATTATTTAGATTGCGAAATAAAGGCATGCAGCATGGTATTTATGTACATTTAAAAATACACAATTCAACATAATTATTGTGCTTCATAATAGGTAAAGTCATAGCAAGTTGTGCCAGCATGAATGCAATTTACAACTTCGGAAGTTTATTTTATTCATACAGAACCGTAATAAATTCAAACAAAAGATACCCCAAAAATCCTCACCTATATTTCAAAATCATATTTATTAGTGTTTTACATAATTTATGAATGCGTTGCATTCAGTCGAGGAGTGCAATGGATATGAGTAGGAGGGGGAGATTAATTAATGTATCGGAGGAAAGATGTAGAACTGTGACGTTCCTGAAGAAGTCAATGAAAGCTGGTATCGTCACATTTCCTCCGTTCGGTGGTTTAATTGACAAATGCTCTCCGCTTCCACCACACACCGCTCTCTTCTGTCTGCCCTAGAGTGGCAAACTCGTTTGTTTTAAACAAGCCATTAAACTGTTCTGGTTGACACGACCTCTGCAAGCTGCGTAGCGGAATGTTTTTATTCATTTTTAACATCACATCCTGCCAAAAGTTCACATAATACCAAGCGCAGAAGGAACGCTGTGACTTAATATTGTTAGGTGCAGTACACATTCTAACACAAATTTTGCATTTGTAAGTCACCCAGACATGTAGGCAGACATTATCACACTCACATTTTCACACCCCATGAACACCCACAATGCCCCCTATATGAGGCAGTTTAGACAATAGAGAACAAACCGCAGGTTGGTTCCAAGTATGCAAATAAAGACCAGCAGCCGGAAACAATACGTCACTACTGCTCACAGATGAGAATTCAGGCAGAAACCTGCGGCTAGACAAAGCCTGCAGTTTAATTCTTTGTTTTGGTAAAGGATGAACGAATTCTGACTGTTTAGTATTTGTAGCAATTTGTCAGTATTTTACCGGTGATATCCGATTAAAAGCAGTGTAGGGTCATACAAACACGCAAGGGGAAATGATCATCTCTCCTGATAACCATAACGGGAGCCAACCTGCTGTACATAGATTATAACTAGGTGACAGCTCGTTGAGACTAAAAGTTAATTTCAAGAGAGATTTGTGTCAAAACATGCAGAGCTTCACAAACGCACACAGCAAGCGCAATAAAACCCCAAAGCAAAATGTACAGTCCACAAATTTGTAATTTAAAATGATTAATTTAACATTAGTGCAAGAGTGCAACTCAAAAGGAAATGTCTTGGGCTCTCAGCCAAATGCGTACATTGGGGAGAGAAAGAGCGGATACGTGTGTGGGTGTAAAGTGGTGGGGCTGGATAGGATTTAGATGTGTGGACATCCACTTTACTGTAATTGCACGTGTTGTATTTAGATGTGTATGAATGTATACAGTCTATGCAGCAAACAGTGAATTAATTTATTTGTATCTGCATTCAAATTCGTTCTATGCATTTACGTACCACGTGTATATTCTACATATAAATTTGTATAGAGCACAAAGTATTCGGTAAAACTCCAAAACATCCACGGTGATGGGAGGGTAAGAGTGCAGTAATCCGCGGCACACCGCAAAGTCACTCTAAAACAAGCGAGTCAACAAATTACGAATTCAGCTTATAGCCAAGCTGCTCTAGTACATACTGTGGAATACAGCAGCGTTGCCATTATATTCTGAAACATGAATGCAGCACATTTTCCATATGGGTATATGGTTAAGATTATTATTTTTAAGACGATCTCTCAATGGGAGGTCACTCGTAGGCCTGGAATCTCCCTCCTTCTCGTCACCCGTGCTTCCCTCCCGCTGTTAAAGTCCAGGCTCAATGGTTTCATTTTTAATCCCCAAGACTGTCCCCCAATCTAGACAGTGATTTCAATTGTATTTATATAAAATAAAAAAATACGCTTCCCTTTCGATCCATTGTATTTGGACGCTCCATAAACCCAAATTGTATTCTATTCGCCTCGCTGGTCAGTGCAGGCTGTTTGAGGGGGTCCAGGACCGGTTCAGATATCACTCATTACTGATGTTAGCTGTGGTCTGGAAATTAACTTGGTTCATAATGCAGGTGCACTGTGTATGAATGGTGGGCATGGTAACAAATGTACAGGATATAATTCTAGATTTGAAGCTTTCGTGACTACAATAATTCATATTCTTAGGTTTTTTTCGGTAAAGTCACGTAGGTAAAAAATTAAAATTAATAAAAGTAAAATAAAAAAAATCACGACGTTTCGGAGGCAACACAAGCTTCCGTCTTCAGGTGGAACCGTCAAGTACGATACCCACCTGAAGACAGAAGCTTGTGTTGCCTCCGAAACGTCGTCATTTTTTTTTAAATTTAACTTTTATTAATTGTAATTTTTTACCTACGTGACTTTACCAAAAAAAACTAAGAATATGTGCAGGATATATTCAGTTTTTTCGTTTGTATTAGGGTTGTTACACAACAATCGGCAAACCGGTAACCGTTCTTAGAATCAATTACTGATTCCAAAAGGTATGAACTGGTAACCGTTTCCAATGATTTTTTTGTATGGAAGTAACCGATTGGCACATGCGAACGTACAGATGGCACCGCGTGGTACATTTGCCCTCGTTGCTGCTGGAAGGGTCACCACTTGTGGAAACTCTAGACGGTCTTTGGCCTACTCTTCCATGCTGACCAGACGTCTTTTGGAAGTGCTAGGCGCACCGAAACGTTTGCCCCACCTAATGCAATCTGCATGCAGATCAACTGTGGTGAACCCATTTACAGTACTGTATACTGCTGGGTGGAGGGTGGTTATTAAATGAGTTTCCGTAGAAGTCATAGGTTCCTGAGTATTTTTTTTAATAGAACGACTGCAAGACGAAACTTTGGGATCTGACCCTTGCACAAGACCTGAACCGTCAGTAGCAGCTGCCGGTGCATTGCTTTAAATAGGGCCGAGTTAATTATTTTTAGGTAAACAACCAAAAAATTCGTGGGCATCCATTGCATGGCCTTGAGACACTGAACATTGTGAATGACAGTCTCACCAGTAATCCCTGAGACTTGAGAAATATGGGTTAGCGTTCATATTTTTCGAATAATTACATTTGCATATGAACGCATATACACGTGTGTATGAGAAAGAGAGTGGTGATGGAATTCAGTAATGTGTATATTACACATATTGCTTATGCATGCACATGTGTATGTATATTAGCAATGGGTCGGCGGGGCTGTAGCTGGCCCTCTACACACGTGCTTCTCACAGATAAGGCTGTTGCTATCTGGGAGTGCAGCAGCAGCCACACAGCATTGCACAGTCGTTTGTGCACTCTTGCCTCATGCAAGCAATTATAAAAGGCGCATTTGTTGATTTAAGAACGCAATGCTTGCTCACGTTTACCCCCGTTCACTTAGGCCATTTAATTTGACACATGCCATTGAAAATGTCACATCTCCCTTTATGTGTACGTGACTGTTCGGCGTATTTCTCAGCTAAACCGCGCTCGCTCAGCAAGCATGTCTGGAGAATGCTCTAGAATAGTGGACAAAACCTCTGCATTTTGAATGGGAACACACATATGTTGGTTTGCCAAATTTGTAGTCTTCAATGCCAATTTCTCTGAATGAAAAATAACCTCTGCAAATTGAAAAATCGTTATCTGGTAATTGCAAATCGTAAAACAATATTGCGACTTCTTTCGCACCGTACGCAGCCAACCGCGCTAATTGGAGATGCAGGACAATCGTAAATGTGACGATTGGTTACTTCTATACGTCTACAATAATGATATAAATCAACTCAGCATGGGGTATTTCGAGGTGCACTCAAGCACACGTGCAATGACCACCCGAGGTGACGTGGAGAGAGAGAGAGATAGCTGACGTCGACGTAAAGCGGTTACTTTTAAACCTTTGCGCAACTTCAAAAAATGACAATACCGGTATGATCTTTAACGTGGAACACTAACAGCTTGCGGTGTTCATACGGCTTTTTTTTTGCAAAACCATCACACTAATAATAACACAGGCGACACAGCTAACATCATCTCGCTTGCACTCAACGCTCTGCCCGCGAGCTCGCCGCGCTCTCCGCCTTTTATAGCGCGCCCGAAATAGCGCGAGCCCCCCCCGCCCTCTCTCTCCCCCGCCCCTCGCCCCGCCCCTCGCCCCGCCCTTCCTCCTTCGTTTCTTCCAAACAAGGCGCGACGAGCCACGCCCCCAACCACGACGCCGACCAATCGTAGCGCGCACCTCAACCGAAGCCCTCGCGTTGATTGGTCGAATTCGTACAGGCGACGTCGCCCTATTGGCTAATCGAGGCGAGGTACGATTGCACTTAACCCCACCCCGCCTCATCAGACTCCCCCGCCCCCCCCCCGGAGCACGCGCGGCATGACGTCACGACGCTCGTGCGTGCCAGCCTATATATAAGGAGCGAGCGCGTGTTTGGGATGGAACGTGCGCTCATTGCAGCGTGTTAACAAACAGCGGTGTTTGTGCAGCAGTAAGAGCTACATAAACAACAACAACAACAGCAACACACAGCATCCTTACCGTTGTTACATGACAGCGATTTATGCGCGAGGTTGGCCTTGCGGAGCAGCGTGTTTTTTCAATTGCAGTGTTGCTTCAATGCATTTGCATGATTAGCAGGAGCGAAATAGGTTTAGTTTTGCGTGCGCAGGTTCTGCAGTCATTGCCCCCCCCCCCTGGGCTTGTTCTGCTGCAATAGACAGGTGTGGACGTAGGAGCATTCCTACTGAGAAGTGACACCGCCACACCTGCGAAGGGCCTGGATATACTTGTACCTGTAGAGCCAGAGAAGAAGGAAGGAGAGCCATGGACGTGCTGCCCAGCTACAGCATCTTCCAGGAGCTGCAGATAGTGCACGACACGGGCTACTTCTCTGCAATGCCATCCCTGGAGGAGACCTGGCAACAGGTGAGGAGGAGAGCTCACATGTGTGTGAGTGTATACACGTGTGCGATTTGTGCATGCGTGTATTAAAAGGTGCATTAAAGAATGGGCGTGTGCATTAGTGGGTGCTAACATCAGACTGAATTGAGGAATTTTTTTTCATATATAAGTACTGTACAATCTATATGACTGTGTGTAAACTACATATATGTTACTATTTGTCTATGTATAACGGTATGTACGATGTGCTCATGCGTGTTTTTGCATGGGATGAAAATGAGAAGTGCACACTAAAGTTGGTACAATTATTACTAGCATTGCACGATAGCACAACACCATACCATGAGCAATATTCAATTTCTTGACGTTTTTTAATATTTCAAATTGTGTATTCCACATGACATTGCACCATCTATTCAATCAGCAGGGTACTGTGGATGTCCAATTTTCAGTTTACATTTCATTATACTGTGTAGTCTTAATACGATTTAATTGCAAACATACTATACACTGGACAGTTATGTATACCATTTACAATGTCACGTATCTAGACTGTTAATTTCATTGTGCTTATGTGTTGTGCTGAATATACATTTTAAGAATTGTGAATTAACGTGTTTGTGCAATTTATAATTTGGCCGTATTTCTGCGCCTGCAAGGTCGTGTTATGTCTGTGCATATAAAATGCTGCATTTTATACAAACACAACTGTAATGTCATTGCAATTAATTTGGACGCTTCAAATTGTATACAATGTGGAATGTGGACACCTTGAATTGTTGCAATACACCCAATACGAAATAATAATGGTTGCTTTGGAAATTAAGCGAAAGTGATCCGTAACTACTTACAACAATAATAATGATTGTACTTGTAACAATAATGGTTTTTACTTGCAACGCACCTCAGCCGCACATGATTCACGCACTCAGAGACGGGACGAGGAACCACAGCCAATTTCCGAAGTTCTCGAGTCCTCGAAATATTAAGGAATTTTCAGCCAATTAATGAGTGGTCAAAAATGTGGGAGGAAGCCGGAGGACCCGGGGAAAATCATTGCGTGCGAGGGGGCAATACTATATCCCATACAGACTGAACTCTAAATTGTGCAACCGGTATTGGGATTTAAATGAACTAATTGAAGAGGTATGGAAAGGGTCCTCAATATCTAGAATGTTGTGCTGTGTGCTGTACAGGGACATTGCAATACAGCATGACAGTATGGGTTGGTGTATGCAAATACAACAGGTGTTTATACTATTTATTGTATTGTCTTATTGTATACAGTCTACACGACACTAGTAATTCCAGCCGTTTTCCACAACTATCGTGGCTAATATTCACGTAGAAATATGTATCTCAATGAGAACTAAATTTCAAGTTTCACCTATTAATATCCAGACATCACTTGGGGGTTTGGTTTAAAATTATTTATGTGTATATGTGTATACGTTCGCTGACTTTAGCTCATGTAAACATCAAAAGGTCTGTGTGTGCAATAACATGTTTTGTTAACAGCCACTGTTTATTTTGAAGCCTATTATACAGAAGTCTTGTTTTGCACAGATGTTTAAAAGCGGTTGCAATCACCAGTACAATATTCCAGATGCTTTAGTTTCACTGTATCATTGGGTTTTCACTTGGTGAAATGCAATATGGTATAATATGGCAATCCGTAGACAAATATGTAAAACTACACACCTCTTATAATATTGTAAATGCAACAGGTATATAGATATCCCTTTGAAAACGTGATATTATTTGGCAACAGGTTTGGTTTAATAAATGGTATGGTGCTGTCAATTGACAAAAAATAAGTCCTGTTGATTTATTTCATTCAAGTTTTGCAATTTTGAATACCAGTACCAAAAAATGATTTTAGTCAATGGTAGTCATCCCTTACAAAATGTACAGTGAACACTAGTGGGCTCTCCCCTGCTTAAAAATAGGTTGATCAGATCAAGGCCATAATTATATATTCAAATATGCTCAAAATGTCCCCCCCAATATATTGTTATAAAATAGATTTCTGTTTATATGATTGTGGTTATGGTTGTACTTTATGAATCCCTAATCTCTGCCATTACATACAATGAAACAAGAAAAGGTAAAAAATAAAAAAAACAGCAATGTAATACAATACACTTATACATTATTGTAAAAAATAAATAAAAAGTCCACCCTATGTGTTAGTGAATTATTTTATATTTTAGGCAGGAAATGGTAGGAAGTTCATTTTCAAATTTAGATTTTTTTTTTCTGGAGGGGGACCCCCAGACTCCCTGGAAGATTTGGTCCCCCCCAATGTTGACTCCATGTCTCCGGCCTTGGATCAGATATTTTTTTACAAACGACATAAGTCTAAATGGATAGTGAACATCACTCGATTTTCATCTGGCAAAATAAAGGATATTGATGGTTCATAGTGTATTCTACAATCATGACAAGACTTGGAAGAGAGATAGGACAATCAATGGGCACCTCCTGATCATATAAGTAAAAACAATAGCATGTGTTTTACTAGATATATCATGAAATGGAAGAGGATATATGTCCCCAATATATATGTTCATTTGTATCTCAGTTGTGTCTCATCTACAACATGTAAATGTGACTGGTTTCTCATCCCAATATGTAGCCCTGAGCTACCAATTAGGGTGAGCACTGCTCCACATGACTCTTTGAGGAAGCAGACTATATACAGTATTGTGTGCAGCAACAGCAGCAGTGGACATTGGCACATTGTGTGTTTTAGTGTGATCTGGGATTTCAGTAGGCACACACACGTCACATGACGTTACAAGCACTCCTGCTGTTATTACTGTGGAAGTGTAGTTTGGACAACCTAATATAAGAAAGACAGGAAAGGGAAGGTCGTGCGTATGTGTGTGCTCTCCTTAATATTGTGGGTCACAGAAACTGTGGCTTGTGCACACCTTCCGCTTGCTGCACAAAACAACAGCCTCTTGGCTTCGTTATGCTCTTGGAAAAAGGCCACTTCATTCATTTACAGTTTATTCAAACATCAGCGTATTCAATAGTGCGTAGGCATGATGAAGCGCTATAATAATGCAATTTATAACGCGCCACAAATTTGCGGACGTAATGGCCGCAACTCAGAGGCGCGGAGCCGAGCTCAGAGTCACTCGAAAGCATGGTTGTAGAGGTGAGTTTTTAAGTATCTCTTGAAGGAGACGATTGAGGCTATGCTGCGAATGTGCAGAGTGATTGCGTTCCAGACTGTAGGGGCAGCCACCGAGAAGCAGCGAATAGACGTGACCATCCTGGATATTGGTATTAAGATGAGGTCGTGAGTCACACTGTGAAGGCATCTGCCGGGTGCTGTGCTGCAAGTCGTCAATAATGGAGAGAGGTACGGGGGGCAGGCAGGTGTGAAGGCATGGGGCAGAGGCAGGCGATCTTGTATGTGACCCTGCTGGCAATGGGTAGCCAGTGGAGGGCATGGAGAGAGGCAAGTGAGTCGAGACGGGATGAGTGCGGCCAATGACGACGCGTGCCTGGTTGTTTTGTAGTCTTTGAAGTTTTTTAGGTTGCCAGAGGAGGACCAGACTAGGACTGATAACTAACTATGCAACATGCCAATGTGTTGGAAGTTTCAGTGGAGATGAGAGGATGTAGGTGTCTGAGGGCCTTCAGGTGAAAGTTACATGAACTGATGATATGATTGGTTTGATGGTCGAAGGATAAAGTTGAATCTAGGATGACACCGAGGTAGCTGAAGAGATCGGTGAACCTGATGCTGGGACCAAAGATGTGTATGTGTGTTGGGAGCACTGATGAGTTGAGACGTTGCCTGGTACCTAACATGATGGCCACTGACTTTGACTAATTAAGGGCAAGGTTCTGTGCAGAGAACCACTGCTTCAAGGCAGTGGTGCAATCTGAGAGCCTCTCTAATCCAGACACATTGGTAGAATTGATGGCGGTGAACAGAATAGTGTCGTCGACATATGAGTGGTGCTTAACATCGAAGCTTGCGATGAGGCGGCTGATGTGCTGAAAGAGTGAAAGGATCTGTTTTCCTCAAATAAGTGTTGGGTGGTGCTCATGTCTGTTGGTCCTCCTGAGATAGTTGTGCAAATTCTACATTCCCATGGCAGCAGCCAGTCTCTCCATAGAGCAATTATTTCAGAGGAACTACAGGCTCGGCCAATCAATGACTAGGATTTTAAATTACAAACCTACGATTGTGAGTTGAGCACTATAGCCACATTACCACTCGAAGGGACAGAGACACAGTGAATGAAATTGGATCACATAGCAATGTAAAAACAAAAACCTCACAAACCAAGAAAGTAAACAATAGACTTGGTTAGACTTTTATATGTTCGTCATTTTTAAGTTGGACCCAAAATATTCTGTTTGACATAACACATACTCTTCAATCCGAATCTCAGAAATGTCTTGAGTTAAATCCCATACTGGTCTTCACTTCCAATCGCTTGCTATATCAAGTAAAAAAATCTGTACTGGCCTATTTTTTGTGTATATATATTACTACAGCATTCCAAGTTAAAACTTAGCATCCCATGTTCTGAGACTGGCTGTTGCACTTGTCTGAGTAACATCATAGTCCCTTTATAGTTGGAGTTCAAACCCCATAATGGTTCAGCATTTCATCCTGGTGCAAGTTACCATCAATTATGCGACTTGTGTTAGGACCAGCATGCCTGCGTTAGTCTGGTTATCCAAGCTCTTCCTTATTCTCTTGGTTTGCTGCATGTCAAACTGATTGCTGCATAATATTACGTTTTTAGTTCCTTCTCGGATGAGGTGTGCTTCCTGGACATCAGCGGATATGTGCAAGGCTCCTTTAAAACACATTTGCACATTGCTCAATGCATAACTTCTTGTCACAAAGAACACAACACAGATACTGAATTGTTCTGCAGTATCTCTACATGGAAATGCGCAATACATATGTTTACGTTCCTGTTCTTATTCAACACAAGCCACCATTCCTCCAAAGTTAGTAAAATGAGACCCATTGTGACATGCTGAGCCCCGTCATTGGAATGTGGAATTTCCACTTCTGGCTCAGGGTTGAGCGCCACCCCATTGCCATTTGAGTAGGGAGACACATTGTTTAAATTATGTACTAATAACGAATAAAACACATGCCCTACATTCTCAAAAGCTCTTCCACGATTTCAAGTTGCTAAAGGATCTTACACAGCTGAGATTTAAAATAAAGACTCGTCAGCTGGTGGGGCCAGCTCAGCTGGTGTTGTCCCAGCGGTCCCTGCACTTGTGCTGCTCCCAGCAAGCGGTGCAGACAGAAGAGCCCACGCACGCCTCCAGTGACCCTCTGCTCACTCAGGAATGCCAACTATGCATCTGCGCCGGGATGTCCCGAGGCTTCCCGCTCATGGCATGGGAAGATACAAATATGAGTGAAGGGAGGATTGCTCACTGACAACCCCTCCCCCATATCTTCCATACAAGCATCATCAACTTTTATAATGGTTGCACAGTATAATACATTAGCATCATGTAGGGCACTTACGTGTGTGTTTGGTGGTGCAGTGGCTTACGTACTTGCACTTAATCGTGACCCACACACGGGTTCAGTTTTCTCTGCTGATTTATATCACGTAGTTATGAGTACCACTCTGTGCTGGGTTGCATAAGACAACTTAAGCAACCTTAAAATGCCCTTAATTTTCATTAATTTAGATAAGAAACTTAATGGAATTTTCTTTTAAGTTGTTTCCTGCAGCCTTGCCCTGATCTCATAAAAACAGATACATTGTTATAATGCAGGGACATGCTGTCATTGCGCTCGGAGAAAAATGGTCTGCTGTATATTTTGCTTCACACATGAATACATACTGATATAACTTATGATATACATATAACACCCATAATAGTGGATCGACACCACGCATGAGTGTTCAGTTTGGTTCCTTTATTTAAAACAGGTGAGAGCCTGTTGAGACTGTCACCTGCAAGGGGTACCAAATGCAAGCCATGTGGGATACCAATGCGCAAATTAAGAAATGGAAACAGGTACGAAAATTGCTCCATAAATAGGTTAATCTAAATATAGTGAATTATCGAAAACCAGGTCTGTCGAGGCGACAGAGTCTGATGAAACAGACGCTGTCGCCTCGACAGACCTGGTTTTCACCTGAGGACAGCTGCTTGCGTTGTGGCCGAAACGTCGTGAGAATTGTTTTATGTTTTATTTTTATTATTTTATTACTTCCCTTCTACGTGACTTTACCGAAAGAACCAAGAAGATGAATCCCTGCGGTCACGAAAGCTTTAAATCGAAATTTATCGTAATATAGTCTATATATGAATGTTGAACTTATTTTTCACTGTGCGTAGCTAATCAAATGTGCTATTATCTAGCAGTGGATATATCTCCAAATGCAAATCATACAACAGCAACAGTAACAAACATCCATCATTGTTATATAGTGTAAATAGAATAAATAATTTATGAATTTCTTAACCAGGTGAGAGCCTGGGAGGGGGAGGTGTGAGTGTGAGGTGTTACACAACGGTCATACAATTGGGACCACTATCCCTTGTTATTTCTCTCTGATCAATGCGTGTGCTTTTCCGTCTTGCTTGAATGTGTGCTTTGTCACCACCTGATTGGATGCAGCTAAGAGATGGTGGTGGGTAAGGGGAGGGGCATCGTTCCTTTGCCCCCATTGGTCGTTTTGTGCGGGGTGTGCGTGATTGAAAAGTGGGTTGGGTCCAAGCCAAATTCACGCGCTTTGCCTTATATGGTAATCCGCGCGTATGCGCCAATGAGGTTTCGTTTAGGGGAGGGGACGGGGGGGGCATGCGTGGGTGTCGGTGTTCGTGTGTGGGTGCGTGCGCGCGTGTGTGTTTAACAACATTGACGCCTCCCACCACTTCCATTATCATCACAGTTGAATGCGAATTTTCACAAAGTTGTGGAATAACATGTCCCAACTGATTCACTTCTGGGATACATTCCAGTCCTGCGGTTTTTTTTATGTGCGTGTTATTTGTTTTTTACATCAACGTGTATCCTTGCAGTGTCTTTGCACTGATTTTCATTGCAACAGTGTGCTGCTTTAATTGATTTTCAACAGTTTACATGACGTGGACTGAATTGTGCATCTTTTTTAAACAATACTTTTATGAATTAAAAAAAACTAAAGGTGTCTGTCATGTCAAACGAGCTTTGGAGCAGTACTTAGGTTTAATGATCGCATTGGGAAATTTCTTAATTCTGCATCCAAATAGCAAGTGCCATTCTGTCCAGAGAGCAACTCCTGCTGACTTACAAAGTAAAATTAGTGGTTTATTTATTAACCTCCAAGGGAATGATGAGCTGGGTTAACCCATGATTTAAAACCAGGGCCAATATCTCCATAGATCCCTGATGAAAGTAATTATTATTTGAAGAGACTCTTCCCCACCATATGAATTTAAAGTTTCATCTCTACCTCAGGACCAGCAACGGAGATGAGCACTGCCCCCATGCTTGTTTGAGCACCGAGACACAAACTTAAACAATATAACAACCCAACAACAGTATATCACGTTACTACAAATTTAAGCGAAATGGCATGTAAAGAAACACAAAAAATATCTAATTAAAAAAAATCCAGCATCAAACTTGCTAATGCAGAATATTATGCACACTGCTAAAATTCCTTATATTCTTTTCCCATTCTCCCTGGCTCTTCATAATTGGATCTTGGCCATGAGGAGGAATGGCATTTCAAGAGCGAAGCAATTTTAGAATGTTTATATAAAACCCAGCATCCGAGAAGTTCCACGAGAGGAAGTATGAGGGAAGACCTCAGCCCACTTAGTTTACAAAGAAAATCACTTCAAGTCCTGTACTGTCCTGAAGACTTTTATAGAGACTGCCCCCCGATTTACTCCACTCTAACCTCGGAGCTCTCTTTAAACAACCGGTGGGAAATGAAGCAATTGAAGATGCCACAATCACGCACAGCTCAGCGGAAATGTTAAACCAGGTAGTTAATTAATTATTCTTTGGAAAACTGTGTCATTAATGATCAAATTCCACACGAGTACGCAAAAACATCTGGCTTTATTTTCCAAAACACAATGGACTTAAAAACAAAAAGTTATTTGGGATTTTTGACAAATACTAATCGGTTTCTCAGCTATCTTAGATGCATCTGCTATGCTCATTGTACAGTGTTGGATGGGTTAAGTTTAAAATATAATCATTGTTGGTTACTGATTATTTGAGGATTTAGAAATAACAGAAGGAATATAATTATTCACTGACTCACAGAGATTCTTAAACTGACGTATTGTGCACTTAATTAAGTCTAAACAATTTATGTAACTTACAAGTAATTGTTGCTTTTAGGCTGATGAAAGGAATTGTACGCAATGAGACAGATGAATGAAACAAAATCATTTTAGATTGAACTATCACAATTGTGAATATTAAACTATGGGGGATGACGTGACTCATCATGTGCTTGATAACAATTTGTAACACTATTTTTGTTCCTGGGTACTAAGTGTTATTTTCTAATTACTTACACCTCAAAAGTACGAAAATGGCTATTATTCCCCACAAACTTTGCTTTTGTGACCAGGACTTTATGTGAAGGAAAGACACAAATGCACACGTTTTCTCATTGAAAATAGGTCAATTTCTAAATATCGTTGTCCTGGTCACAAAAGCAAAGTTTGTGGGGAATAATAGCCATTTTCTGTACTTTTGAGGAATAAACAATTAGCAAATAACACTTACTACCCAGGAACAAAAAAAGATTTTTCTTACACAGTGTAATCCCATGTTTAGTATTTCAAAGCAAAATAGGTTAATGTATTTAAGATTAAATTATTCACGTTAACCTTGGAAATAACAACACAGAACGGTGTTCTACGTTGTCGGCTTCATAGCTTGCTCTAGAATATTTGCCCATTGCTTGGCTTATATTAACTCAAGCTGCTTACATGATTATTTTAATGTATTTTTTAAAAGTCATTCTACAATTTGTAAATGGAATTCATAAGAACAGGCTGCCTGTAATTTGACGGCATAAAAAACATGGTGATAGTAACGCTTTAAGAGTACCTGTCTCTAGTAATCTGATTCCAGTAACCTACTGCATGTAACACATGAGTGCCAATACTGTACTGCACGACCATGAATTAACAAAACGTATCCTTTAATTTTAGCGTGATGTTTTTCAAATGTAAGTGTTTCAGACAAAGATTAGCCCCTTTTCAATTATCACCATCTCTCGTGTCTGCTCGAGCCTTCATTCCTGTGTGATCCTTTGGGCCCTAACAGCTTTAACTATAATATAATTATTTGCTGTCACTGGATATTGGGTCATAATAAACAAACAGCTGCTGAAATAAAATAACATTGATTCCATTGACAAGTATACTCTTAGTTCTTTCGGTAAAGTCACCTACGTGACTTTACCGAAATAACTAAGAGTATGAATCATTGCAGTCAGGAAAGCTTCAAATATAGATTCCATTGACAAGTGTTTTTCAGTCGCGTTTTTTAACGCAAACCGAGACTGTTTTCAATTCATTCAACAGGGATAAAAAAAAAGAGTCACATGTCTCTGTGCTAAAGATCGGCTGTGCCCAATATTCACCAGTGGCCCTAAGACAGTAGTGGGATTTTCACGTTTTTTTAAATGTCAGTCGAATGTTATAACTAGCGTTAGCCTATATTCATATTTGGGCTACGACACCAACGCAGTCATATTCTTCCTATTGATGCCTCAGATACTTTTACTTTCATAAACATCTGCCATAGCTCTACCCAGCCAGATCATAACTGTGTGGCACACAAAACAGAGGTTTGTAATGTTTAAACAAACACCTCTCGGAATCTGATTGAAAGTGGCATGTTCAGTTAACCAAACATTATATATCCCCTCGTCTTAATCATCAAACTCCCCTTACCTTGTTTTGAATGGCCCAGATCTGCCTGGAAATGGAGCGGTACCTGCAGACGGAGCCCTGCATGGGAGGCCGGTGCCCGGCGAGCAGCAGTGATGCCGAGAAGAGTCCCTGGCAGAGATTTATCGCCGCCTGCTCCGAGCAGAGCGAGTCTGCTCTCGTCACAGCGACACCCATCACAGCTCCGCTGCAGCAGGACCTCGGCGGTGCGGCCGCCACCACCATTGCCTCTCCGTCACCATTCCAGCTACAGCTGCGGCGTCATCGTTCACGGACGGCAGAGACCCGTGCCTCACGGCGCATGGCAGTGCGAGCCCCGCGGGAAGCAGCGGATCCTGGGACTCGGTGCCGTCACCTGGTGCCGAGGAGCGGCTGAGCGAGGCGAGTGGAAGCCTCACGCCGCCATCGTCGCCCGAGCACTCGGACCTGACCGAACTCAACCTTGGACTAGACGAACGGGCAGAGGCATGTGCCGAGATTGACTTGGCTGAGACGGCCGCCCTCCACCATCAGCAACAGCACCACCTCCAGCTCCACCTCCACCTTCAGCAGCAGTCTCAGCTGCACATCTCACTGCACGACAGCCACACAGATAAGTTGCAGGTAAAAGCGATGACTGTGACTGGCAAATTAGTGGACCCGGAAGGCTCGCCCGATGGAAAGAAGAGGATTCACCACTGTCCCTTCAGTGGCTGTCGGAAAGTTTACACCAAAAGCTCCCACCTGAAGGCCCACCAGCGCACACACACAGGTGAGTGAGCGGATGTTGCACACTGCACGATCACCTGACACATCCATCTGCACTCAAATCATTGCATTCAGTTTATCTGTCTGGTGCATTGGTTTATCCAACATCGGTTTCTGATTGTGCTGCTACTTGAACGTCGTGTCGGGGAACGACGCAAAACTATCGTATAATAATTTTAACTTTGCTTTTGTGTCCCACAAATGTATGCATCTGTATGTAACCCTGAAAACCAAAATCTCTAATTCACAGAAGTGGAATATGTTGGGTTTTTGCAGTCATTGGTGACCAGGTTGAAGCCATTACTCTTGATTGAGAACCTAGTTTAGTCAATGTTGGTTGAAACGCACATTTCAATATAGAATCAGGAGTGCTCATTATCATTTTGCAACCACTAGTGGCGGAACAATACATTAATTTATAAATTCATATCGATTCTTAAGCTCGATAAACCTGCATCGCATAGTGTAAGAGTTAGTGTTTTCAATTTGTATATACGTAAGATTCACATTATTCCTGCAACCACTTGAGGCGCAACCACTCATCAGAGTGATAAATAAAAATATGAAACACTGCGATGCCAATCATTTTTTATTCTACTCTACCACCTTCTTCTTTGTTTTTACAGTCATGGTGGAGCTACTTGACACACATTTGACACCTACCTTATATCACATGCTTCTTTGTTTCATTATTTACTATTTGTGTTTTGCAGAGGCAAGCTTTTCTTTGACCAAAGCAATGTCACTTACATCATTTTGGCTTTAGGAATAAATCATACTATGCTTTTCTAACACGATAGGTCAATCTTTATAAAGTACACTGGATGGTTTTATGTCATTCGCTATTCAATTTATTATCATTGTGCAGTGCAGTCAGTAACGGTGTAATTTAATCTGGGAGCCTTGCATGGATTCATAATGACCTTTTAGTGCCTAAGACCTCTGAGTTATTGGTATAGGTATTTTGTCTACACATGAGGAATGATAATCCAGGCAGGTGTGCTGTGATTACAGCATTCAGCTCACAATTGGAAAGTTGAAATTCTCATCATGCATCGACTCAGCCCATCATTCTTCTGGGATTGACAAAAATGAGTTACACTTTGTAGGACCTCAGCAGTGTTCATCCTAGAGACTGGCTTGGAAACGTGGAATTTGCACCACTAGCTCAGGGCCACAAATATAGAAAAGCACTGCTCCAGTGCTCATTTTGGCAGGGAAACCGTTTTGCTCTGACGCCTTACAGCCAATCAGTTCTTAAAGGGATAAGTTGCACAATGACAGAAATATAATTTGTTCTTGCATTGTCCAAGCTAATCCGCTTTCCATCCACTACAGGCATGGTGGTATTATGAACTGGGTTGAACTCCTTAGTGCCTGCATCTGTATTTGCACTTTGGCCATCGTGTAAAATAGTGATTTAAAACGACATTAAAAGAAAGGTGTGCAGTGTACAGATCAGTGTGAGCACAGCACTCTTATAAGCGTGTTTATTAAATGACTCATGGATACTTTATGAACAGCTTCTAGATCTGTCAATAAAATCGTGTTGTGTTGATTGTTTTTCCCTTCTACATAGTGAATAAAGTTTTAGCAAAATGAGTCATTTTAAGAATTCTTAGCATTGGTTGTGCACTCTGAGCAAGAGGGGCTTTTGGCACAGCACTTGGCACTCAGTTGGAAGGGTCACTATTTGAAATTCCGGACAAATACGTCTATCATCCTTTCAGGGGCCCAGAATATCAGTACTACTTTGTGGGAAGCCAAGAGTGGTATTCACGTTGATAGACAGACCCCCACCATTAGAATGTGAAATTTCCACCACTAGCCTGGAGACCACCAATAAAGATGAGTACTGCTCAATTACATGTTTGAGTCAATAAACATGTGACTTTACTTTTGGCATCAATACCCTTACAACTAGTGCTATATTAGTACATTTTGCAGCCCAATGAGGCAGAAGTAACAAAAAAAAGCATCAACAGGTTGCAGCTGGATATGTGTTGATTGCGTTGGTGTGTGCATGTAATGAGAGCCTTCCTTTACATTCTTGGACCCCGCTATTGATGCATTTTGGTCCCTGAAGGTCCACAGACCCCCCCCCCTCCTTTGAGGTCCCCTGCATTGGAAACATCGATAGCGTTATTTACAAAATGATCGAGCACTGGATTAGTGGGCGTAATCGTAAGTCTGTAATGCAAGCTGGTGCACTCAACAGCGGTGAATGCATACACGCGGTTGGAAATTTTACTCATAATGGAATCAATAGCATGTAGACTGTACAAGGAGGAGGGAGAAAAAAAATCACTACTTATAAATGATGGATGATGGGGATGTATGATTGCATCTATGTTGCATGATGAATGTAACAGAGTTCCATTGGAATAAATTACCTCTTGTCGACCAGGAGTGAAAATATATTTTGTGCTGGCTGTCACGGCCATTATCATGGGTGTAGTTGGCCAAACTCGCACTATGGAGTAACAGTGATCTCATAATTTATGTTACAATTTACGCCATTGCAGTATTAACAGTTATCAGCGCCATAAGGGTTGTTCCGTATTGTTTCATCGTTTAGCACTCACCCCAATAACTTCACAATAGCACTCTGTAAAATATGTGTTTCATTTAATGTTTCTAAATGTTAAACCTGATCCACAAGTAGCAATATGAACAGAGCCACGCAGAGCCAATCTCATGCAAAGTGTACCCCGTTTGAGCCAGTGACTCTTAACCGATTGTAATGCGGGGACCATCGTTAATGGTGGCCGTTATGTATAATAAGACATTTTGCATATCCAGGAAAGCCTCATTGAGTTCTAACACTATCAGGTGATGGCCTTGCATTTCGATGTGTGGGCTATTCATTCCTTTAAAAAATTTCTTTAGTATTATTACATTTCAGAGGAAATTGTATTACCCTGAAAAAAGCACTGTTACAAGGTGGATGATGACCACAAACTGCACAGAACAATCAGGAATGAACTTCCTGCGCTGCCATCTGTTGGCCACCTCGCAGATGATCAAGTTTGGAGTCTCAAAACGCAATGAAACATGTGTGATACAACAACCCCACTTTCTGAACATCAGTTTATATGTGTGCTTCACCACCGTACATCTTCTGATAAGTATCAAACTGCAGTTGACATCATAGTAATCTCCAGCAACTGGTTTAAACAAAAATACTCCTTCATTGAACTGCTGTTGCTCAACAATAGATGAGCACGCAACTCGATAATAATCACTGTGTGGACTGGGTTATGTGTTGATCACCATGGCCACTTGAACTGACCGCACTCTTTGCCGTTGCCTCTTCTCCACGTCTCGTCGGACGGCATTTGTGGCAGCAGGAGAGAAGCCGTACAAGTGCTCTTGGGAAGGGTGCGAGTGGCGCTTTGCGCGGAGTGATGAGCTCACACGACACTACCGCAAGCATACAGGAGCGAAGCCTTTCAAGTGCGCACACTGCGACAGGCAAGTGCACATGGATTGATCGCTACATGCATGTAAACATGTACCTTTATTCTTTGTGAATGACATTGTCAAGTCGCCAACTCTGCCACATTATACACATGTAAGAATGTGAAGGTTCCATTGGTAACGTGAATGGTTTGAATTCACATGGTGGTCAAGGCTCAACGTGGTGTATACCAGGTCGCCAGTGCACCCGCGGAAACGGGAATTCATAAAAATGCAATGTACCCCTTTCACATGAGAGACTTTCAGAGCAGCATCTGGCCAGGAAGTGCTTTGTTTAGACTGCTTGGCTCGCAAACGGACAGTTGTAAGTTAAAATTGCAGTTGGGGGTCAACTTATATCATCATCATCCCACTCGCGCCTAAAAATGGCTTCCACTTAATTCATGAATGTAATGTGTGGTACTTTCCACCGCTCGCACAGGGCCACTGATGGTGGATGAGTGCTGCCCAGCGCTCGATAGAGCAGGGAGGCTTTAATATTAATGCAAAGGGCACCTCGACCAAACTACATTCTGTTGGTACTATCAATGAATGAAAGCTTTCTGCATTGCTCTATCTATCATTTAATATGCACTACATGCATAATGTTCTCTCCAGGAATCCGACGCTAACCTTTTCCCTGTATTTCATAAATGTAGTGCCCGATAAGCCCAGTGAGGCCTGCAGACATGTTTCTGTGGTTGGCACCACACTCACTGCCGATAAGGATAAGGTTAACAAAAGAAAACAACATATTGGCTGCATTTTGCATTAAAATAGATGATTATGCAGGAATACAGCTTCTGACCTTCAATTGTGCATAACGTGAATTTTATTTCAGACGAGATGCAATTCAATAATGCAAATGGGATGTAAATAAGCTTAGATATAATTTTTTAATTAAAGTATGCCACATTCATGACATTTATGTTGTGCATTATTGAAGGTCAAAGTCTGTGAACATTCTAACAGTCTTCCCAGGAAATAAAGAAATTTGTCCAGCATTTAGGAAACACTTTATATAAACAAAGTTACTTTTTAAATGGTATCTGTGAAAGCACAGGCCGGAGCTCTGCTGAATAAAACGATTATAGTGCCACATTCCTATTACACAGCAACTTTGAGTTTATGGATCACGCAGAGATCGTAAAACTCTGAATGACCTATTTGCAGGGCAGCATGGTGGTGTCTGTAAGAGTTTTCATTTTGAACCATGCATGTAATTTTCAGTCTCGGTGGTGTTTTTCTGGGTAAGTATTGTAATGAAATATGGATGATGAATGTTAGCAACCAGTATTATCAATATTCTGTGTGTATATATATATATGCTCTAATTTGATGCGTGAGAAGGTGAGATCCATTTTTCACTTCATGGGAACCAGTCTTTCCAAAAAAGACTGCAAGTATAGTGATTATATTATACAAATATATTTACAGCTTCGTTTAACAGCACTGATTGTGCTTACGTTCATTACAATGGAAATAACCCATATATATTTGTTCACCAATTTGTATCTGTTATTCACACATTATTAAGGTTGTGGTTATGGTGGTGCACACAGCAAAATGCATTCTCATCCCCACAATCCAAGATTCTAATGCAAGCTGTGATCATTGCAGGTCTTTCTCCAGGTCAGACCACCTTGCCTTGCACATGAAAAGACACCTATGAGCGGGATAATGCGGAAGAAGATAATGCGGTTGCTGCGCATCCAACTGCAGTCATCCCAGGACAACGTGAAGGAAAATACGGTGTTTGACTGTAACAAATACCATTGGGTCGTGGGGTGGCAAGGCATCACCGTATATTATAATCAAACCAACATACTACTTAACCCTTAAACTAAGTAAAACATTTGCCAGGCATTGCTGGCTTGACAAAGGAGCAAGCTGAACATACTGGCTGGAACAGCCCAGTACCCATTAAAGGGTAGAACTTTGAGCAGACACACCTCCATATGTATAAGTATTAGTTGTGAACTTTGACATTTCACCGTTGAACTAGCGAACATTGTTTTCTTTGGAGGACCCACGATTGGTATGCACGACTCCTTAAGCCCTCTTTGCCCTCATCTCGCCACTTGTCCAAGCCCCCAAGCCTCAATTCAAGGAGTGATGAAGCAAGATTCAACGAGAGGACCTCTACGTGACCCTTTGTTAAGAATGCGATGTCACTGCTTGCCTGGAATGAGTGGATGAATGGGCTCTGATCTGTCATTGACTTTTGCCTTACAACATCCAGTTACAAATAGCATCTAAGAAAAAGAGAAAAAAATCCCCTTTCTCACTGGACATAACCCTTTTCATCCTCAAACAAACATCTTTAATTGGGTTTGGAATATTAATGATGCCAGGCTAATTGTGTAACCTTGTTACTTTTAAAGAATGGACTGAGTCATATTTAAGGGTGGAAAAAGCTCTGTACGTGTTATTGCACATCAGGATGTCTGGCTACTGGTTTCCGCCCTTGAACACGTGACCTGCAGTGCATCACCACACAAGCCGAGCTCTCGGAAACATTTGGTATTCCCACCCAGCTTGGTGCAGAAGATGCAAATGTGCGAATTAGATTGTGGTTACATTTAAAAGTACTTAATTTAAAGGTGATGCTGAGCATTGGCAAATGTATTTCAGTGAGAAAATATAAATAAAGCTTCAGAAAAGGAAAGTGTCTGCTATGCTGAAGTAAGCAATGGGACAGCACTCATATCTACTGACATTCCAGAGCTGGTTGTACAAATCCCACATTTCTAATTTTCCACAGCAGGACCAGGCTTAATGAGAGGATCACTCTCATTATGTGGCACTTATTTGATCAATTCTGGAGCGATGACAGGCTGAGTGAGCCAGGATTTGAACTCACAAATTTACAATTGTTAGTCGAGCGCTGTAATCGCACACCACATGGCCAGTGGCATCTTAAACCGAGATTTGTAGATTAGGGGTTCTCAACCACGTAGTTACTATGGCCCTTACAGGTAGCTGGAGCACTGGCAGCATGAACAGCCTTGTTTTGTATACTTGTCAATCGCACATGTTCCCCTCAATGTAAACTCTGCCGCCTTTTTATTCTCTCCCTGATTACAAGTAAGCCAACACTTTAAAATAACAATGGTACTCACAATCTACATGTGTAATTGAGCATGCAGTAGTGTTCACCTCGTGAGCCAGTGGTGGGAATTACACATTTGTATACTTGAGACTCGAATATTCTTGTCACTACCACTGCTGACTTCTTACACATTGGTTTTACATTTATTGACAAACATACATACTGTTGGAAGTACTATTTGGGCCAGTGCTTTATAATGTCTGTTTAAATTACCATTCACATACGTATGTAGAACCACAATCAGAAAATTAATACTGGAATTAGGACAAAAGTCAGCGTTTCTCTTTTCAAACAAGCAATTTTGTAGCACTCAACTCTATTGGTGGTCCAGAGCCTGTAGTGGAGATAGTTTTAATATGATGACCACTCTAACCGCATAACCTCCAGGCTGGTTTCGGGAATAGTGTATAGTGCACTTTTACGTAAAATGCCAAAGACACAAATTCCATTTTTTATTTTCTCCCAAATATGGACTCTTATGTGGTCATCGAGGTCTACTGCTTACATCTCCTTGGGGTCTGTGGACCTGGTTGAGAACCCTTTTATAATGTCTCAGGTGCCAGGCAGTAAGTGGTGCTATGCAATGGTTGCATGCTGTAGGATTGCTGCCATTGGAAATTCACATCGTTAATTGATTAAGCACCATCACATTGCTGTGTGCTACTAATATTCCCATAAGTAAAATTGGGAAGAACTTGTCACACAATGCATTACTTTTTTTTTGAAAGACTGTCCAAAATTTCACACCTGAAATAATCCACAGTTGGTACTTTTTTCCCATGTGCTGTTTAATTTATCAGTAATTGCGTTGCACGTATAATAATCATGGTGAAGTGGCACATGCATTGACATGCTATGAAGGCTTATGTTTGCTGAGGTTGCAGATGAAATTGTGTTCATAAGCTGTGGAGAGAGAATTGTGTTGCACAAAGACATCGCACTGCGACATGACCAGTTTTTGGGAGTAACATGTTGCTAATTGGATTAAAAAGGCAGGTGCTGGTAGTCTCATTATTTATCTGTTTCTTCAATGTGTAAGCAGAATATCACTACTTAGGATGTACCATATGGTTATGATTACTTTCATTGAAACCAAATGTACTGTTATTGCAAAAACAATTCAAAGGAAAATTATTACAAATGAAACTTAATTTTAAGACAGCAGCCAATTAATTTATATGTAGATCATTATATAAAGCCTGTAATAATATTTAAATTATGTTATTTCTTTAACAGTAAACCAACATAGTGGACATCACTGGTGAATTCTTAATCTACGTGATCTGGCAAATGACTCCTAAAAGAAACCTACAATTTTTCAAGCATAGCATTTCACTTACTCATTATTCATTTGTACCAGAACTGCCAGGGCATGTGGAAATTCAGTGATGGTAGTCATGGCTCACGCAGTCCCATATTGTTTGGCTAATAGTAATAACTATATCTACAGTCCACTGTGTAATAAGGATTTTAACCATGATTTTAAGCTTGCGTGACTGCAGGAATCCATACTTTGGTTCTTTCGGTAAAGTCACGCTTGTGTTGCGATCGAAACGTCGTGATCTATTATTTTTTCTACCTACGTGGCTTTACCGAAATATCCAAAGAGTAAGAATTTTAATATTTGTGTGATACGTTTTTAAAATTCCTGGTGGAAACAGCAGCCCTCATGCACACAGCGAACCAGTGATACATTATCCCAGTTACACCACTGAACCATCATGATACAATTACAGCCGCACTTTCTGGAATGAAAATGTCAATTGCACTTCTTCTGAACAAAGAAAGCAATTACTGCTTTTTATGGAAGGGATACAAGGGACTGCGTTGACAGCTGTCCACAAACAAGATTAAATACACCACTCCGCCATCTTCATGAACACTGCCTTGAATCGGGGAAAAATGTATGTTTTGAGAAATGAAAAGGCAGCCACGATATTGACCGACTTAAATATATCAGATGTCTACGAATATATTTCTTCAAGCTTACCACATTGTAAAAATCCATTTCCAACTACTGTGTCAAAATCATCTCTCTGCTCCAAAAAAAGCTGTTTGTCTGAAATGTTATTCTACCGTATATTTCCCTATTACTGGGCAGGATTTAATGAAGGTGGCCGAGCTTTTTGTTGTCTCGCAATCACTTCTCATAATTGATCGTCATACAGTACAATTAGATTTGCTCCAAGCCTAATTCGCACACTGCGTACGCACACAGGTCACCAACTGCTAACTCACTTGACGTGTGAACTGTCAAGTGCTACGAGGTTAGTGATGAATGTGAGTTATCCTCTACAGTCCGCGTCCATTCATATTGTGCTGTCATGTTGAAGCCAAAGTACATTCGTGTAACCTACAAGCTAAACTATGCCTTAAAGAATATATGGGGGAGCCAAATGAGGTACATGACTAGAGATTTTTTTTTACATTTGGTCCCTGGTTCCCATACAGCGCCACTGTTAAATCTGTAATCTTTAACACGCAACAGAGCATACACTAAATATTGCACGGCGCAAATTTACTGTTACTAAATAATGTCGTTGTTCTTGTCGTGACTATGACATCCTCCCTCCTCTTCTGTTCTGCTCGAGAAACTGAGCTTTTGTTCGTGACTAAACTCGTGTTTAAAAGAAGTTAAAATACTTAGTTCAAATGTTTTCATTTGTGGCAGATTGGTTAAGAAAGGACGTATACTTTACTGGAGTTGTATAGTATATACTAGATACATTTCTACGTTGACTAGCCTTAATTACCAGAAAAAAAGCAAAGTAGACTTCTTAATATACAAATTGACCACAACCACTAGCAGAATTAAGTTATTCAGAAATATATTTCAGTATTTTTTGTGCATCGCTCATTTGTTTTACCGAGTGAAATTCGGTAGTCTATTGCTTCAACCAGAACTGTTATTGAAATCAACGAATACAATGTTATATTGTTCACGGTGCAGATGTTCTTAAGATCGTTATTCCATCTTAATGGGTGCTTGTTTGCATAAAACGTCCTTTATATATCCAGCCAGAGGCGTGATGCGCACATTGAATTGAAACCCAAAGACAATCTACAAATGTGTGCATCGCTCTTTACGTTTCTATAAGTACCGTACTGTAATTTTTTAAAGCATATAAATACTGTATATTGTTGGAGAAATATGTACATTTTGTATCGACTTTGCAACTTTTTTCTGTGCTTCAGTTACCTTCTGTAAATGTTTTGAATTCAGAGGTTGTATATTTGGTTTATGAGACTGATGAATGTATAGCTTTTTGTTAATAAACATGACTGCAGTACATTATGAGAGTTGTGTGTTGTATTGAGCGGTATTGGAAATTCATATAATGGTGTGTTTAAGATTTATTTTTACGTAAAAAATCTTAGTTCTCTCATTTCAGTCTTGAACATTTTATTTCAGTTTAAAAAAGTATTGCTTTTCAGAATGGATTAGGCAGAATATAATGACAGGACTCAAGCACATTGCTTGTGAATATTCATATTCACATGCTGTCATTTGTATTCATTTGCACTGTGTGATAGAAAAATCACATTTATAATAGGTTTTT